CTGAATATGCGCTGCACCTGCTGCCTACTTATACTCACGCTGTGATCAGCAGCAGCTGGATGCAATAATCGCATGCCAATGTGCATTGGCTCGTTTAGTTTACACTCGAAGTAGATTGGTCCCTCTAAGCGAGATCCCAATTCGTCGGTCCTCCGACGTGACGTCTCCGTTCCCTCCTTCAGGGAACGAGGGTTACATACGTAACCGAGACGTTATTCATAATGTAGAAAGAGCAGTGTGAACATTTTTCTAAATATATTATTTTGTGTTTCCATGGATGAAAGTGTTTTGGTAAAGTACATGATAACAAAACAAAACAAAAAATATTCTCAATGGAATCAGAAAAAAAAGTGCTTTAACCAGCTCAGACAGGAAAATAACTACTCGATCAGTGCAACTGGATTTTAACTTACAACTTCATTAAATATTTGACAAAAATATTAATATCACTATTGTATTGACTCACTCCCAGAACTCAGTGACGGCACTGGTCAGGTTGGTGGTGTCCATCAGACTGTAGTTGGAAAAGCAGCGATCAGTGTTCCAAGGGTTATCACAAGTTTGCCATGGTAACTCCTAAAGAGAGAGAAGGAGAGAGAGAGAGAGAGAGAGAGAGAGAGAGAGAGAGAGAGAGAGTGTGTGTGTGTGTGAAGAGAAAACCCTTGTGGGTAGTAACACTTTAGTATAGGGACCAATTCTCACTATTAACTAGTTGCTTATTAGCATGCCTATTATTAACATATTGTCTGTTTATTAGTACTTATAAAGCACATATTCTGCATGACCATATTCTACAGCCCTAATCCTGCCCAATACCTAAATTTAACAACTACCTTACTAATTATTAATGCAAATTAGGAGTTTATTGAGGCAAAAGTCATAGTTAATGGTTTGTTAATAGCGAGGATTGGACCTTAAAATAAAGTGTGACCAAAAAAAAAACACTGTACTTGCCGATATTACAATATTAATTAAATAAAGCCAAACAGTTGATGGTCCTCACTGAAAAAAATACTATGGAAGTCAATGAGGACGATCAACTGTTTGGTTACACCAGGGCTGTGTCCGAAAGCCTAGCTGACTTGCAGCCTCCCTGCCCTATCAGGCAATAACTTTGCAGGCAGCATTTCTGCACAAAGTCACCTCATGAAATTGATTTCGGACAGGCTTCTGAGGCAGTGTAACGGTTTAATGATGTACAACGAAATAGTTTTGGTGCTAACTAAATGAATATGTAATTACTATAATACTGATTTATATGCTACAAGTTTGACTGCATCATATAATAATGCTGTTAATAGTGTTCATCATCTGTTTGATTATGTCTTGAATTTATTTTTCCGTACATTTCTGCCATATGTACATTAACTGACATTCACCACTGATAAGTTATTAGAGAGAGAGAGAGAGTGTGTGTGTGAAGTTTTAGAAAACCCTTGTGGGTAGTAACACTTTAGTATAGGGACCAATTCTCACTATTAACTAGTTGCTTATTAGCATGCCTATTATTAACATATTGTCTGTTTATTAGTACTTATAAAGCACATATTCTGCATGACCATATTCTACAGCCCTAATCCTGCCCAATACCTAAATTTAACAACTACCTTACTAATTATTAATGCAAATTAGGAGTTTATTGAGGCAAAAGTCATAGTTAATGGTTTGTTAATAGCGAGGATTGGACCTTAAAATAAAGTGTGACCAAAAAAAAAAACACTGTACTTGCCGATATTACAATATTAATTAAATAAAGCCAAACAGTTGATGGTCCTCACTGAAAAAAATACTATGGAAGTCAATGAGGACGATCAACTGTTTGGTTACACCAGGGCTGTGTCCGAAAGCCTAGCTGACTTGCAGCCTCCCTGCCCTATCAGGCAATAACTTTGCAGGCAGCATTTCTGCACAAAGTCACCTCATGAAATTGATTTCGGACAGGCTTCTGAGGCAGTGTAACGGTTTAATGATGTACAACGAAATAGTTTTGGTGCTAACTAAATGAATATGTAATTACTATAATACTGATTTATATGCTACAAGTTTGACTGCATCATATAATAATGCTGTTAATAGTGTTCATCATCTGTTTGATTATGTCTTGAATTTATTTTTCCGTACATTTCTGCCATATGTACATTAACTGACATTCACCACTGATAAGTTATTACTAAATATTGTAGAAACTTAATTTTCTGTAAAGCTGCTTTGCAACAATTTGTATTGTTAAAAGCGCAGTACAAATAAACTTGAATTGAATTTCTTGCTAGAACTAACATCAAAAGTGCAAAAAGTTAGTCAGAAATATACATTTACTCACAAACGAACCACCAAACGCAACTTTCAAATGCCTTCTTTATTTTTTAGCTCAACCATCATGGAATGGAATGCACAGGATTGCGGGATATCAAAGGCATGCAGCGAAGGATGCCTTTGATATGCTGCCTTCAAAAATTGATCAGATGACGGTATTTCATGAGACAGGAAGTGAAGCTAACTTTGGATTCGGACGTGACTTAATGCCTTGGAATGCGTCCTCCGAAGGCAGCATTTTAGAGCTTTTGGACGCAGCCCATGGGTAGGCAAGTTCGTTCCTAGAGAGCCACTGTGCTGCAGAGTTTAGCTTCAACCCTAATCAAACACACCTGATCAAGCTAATCAATGTCTTCAGGATTACTAAGGCTATAGGCTTTTTCCAGGGTTGGAGCTAAACTCTGCAGGACAGCAGCTCTCTAGGACCGAACTTGCCAACCCCTGGGTTACACACATCCTTTAAAATATCTTCTTTTGTGTTCAGCAGAAGAAAGACATTCATTCAGGTTTGGAACAACTTCAGCGTGAGTAAATGATGACAGAATTTTTGGGTAAACTATTCTTTTAAGTGTTCTTAACGAGGCTTTAATAACACATTTATGACGATGCTTCTTAACATACTCATACTTAATTTATAATTGCACTCTGTAATGTCAAATGCTTCACATTAAAGTACATTTTAAATTATGTTTTAATTATGTTTTTGTCATGCTTTAAAAATACAATCAGTAATTGATTAGAATTTTAACTGTAGTGTTATGTCAGACTCTTGTGTTTTGTTCCCCACGTGCTCCATGTCCTGGTTTTCCCCCATGTTCCTCCTATGCCCTTATTTGGTCCTTCCCGTTCCTGTCCTTATTAATATAATTTGTTACAGGTGTTCCCTCATTAGTTTCCATGATTTAAGCCCTGTGTGTTTCCATGTCTAGCGTGCTGTCTTAAACGTTGATTCTTTGGATGAATAAAGACAGTAATAGTAACTCTCCTGCGTTCTCCTCGTTCCTCACTACTCACCGTAGGCAACATCGTGACAGAAGACAACACCTACAATAAGTAAACGGTGCCCCTTCTCCCCATTTTTGTTTCCGGTTTTGAAAGTGTTTTTGTTTTCCGTGTTTTCCCCCCGCGATTATGGAGATTATGCATGTTTCATTGCGCTAGCCCATAGAGATCTCGCCCGCCGGCTGCTCAGCAGACAACCCCGCAGGCCGCGCCCAAGCCCGCCGGCCGTTCCTCAGTCAAGCCTGCCGGTTGCGCCGTTCTCCCTTAACCAAAGGATGAGGCTGAGGAGAAAAAGACTGTTCTCTGCCCTCATCCTAGCCCCAGAGCTCGCTCCAGTGTCGGCTCCAGTCCCCGAGTTTAGCCCAGAGAGGGCTCCAGTCCCCGAGTTTAGCCCAGAGAGGTTCCAGTCCCCGAGTTTAGCCCAGAGAGGGCTCTTATCCCCGAGTCTAGCCCAGAGAGGGCTCCAGTCCCCGATTTTAGCCCAGAGAGGATTCCAGTCCCCGATTCTAGCACAGAAAGGGCTCCAGTCCCCATGTTCAGCCCAAGGAGGGCTCCAGTCCCCATGTCCAGGCCAAGGAGTGCTCCAGTTCCCACGTCCAGCCCAAGGAGGGCTCCAGTCCCCAGGTCAAGCCCAGGGAGGGCCCAGTTCCCGAGTTAGGCCTACGGAGGGCCTCTGAAACTGACATTCTCCCCAAGGATTTTTCCGCCATGGCTTCCCAGTCTGCCTGCTCTGCCATGGCGCCCAAAACGGGTGCCGCTCTGGAGCCCTGCCATCCAGTGGAAGCCTGTCCTGAGAGGCCTCCAGAGCAAAGTTGGTTATTATGAGGCGCGTGGACGCCTTCCGGGAGGGGGGTGTAATGTCATACTCTGTTTCTGTCTCTTGTGTTTTGTTCCCCATGTGCTCCATGTCCTGGTTTTCCCCCGTGTTCCTCCTATGCCCTTATTTAGTCCTTCCCATTCCTGTCCTTATTAATATAATTTGTTCCAGGTGTGCCCTCATTAGTTTCCATGAGCCCTGTGTGTTTCCATGTCTAGCGTGCTGTCTTAAACGTCGATCCCTGTTCCTACGTGTCTGTTCCTTGTTCCCTTTGGATGAATAAAGACTGTTATAGTAACTCTCCTGCATTCTCCTTGCTCCTCACCGTAGGCAACATTGTGACAGTTAACTGTAGTTAATTCTAGTTAATATTACATTAAAAGCTAATACTTTTTAAATGTACTAAAATGTGACTTAATAATTGCGCAATTACAAATACATTTAAAAACATGGCATACAAGTTTAGTCAATTTGACAGTAGAAAGACAATAGAAGTAATTATGAAATTACACTCCTAAATCCTAATTAAGTCGGTCAAAAAAGCACTCTTAAGTTCAGTCCAAAAACATAACATTCAGTTTACAATTATAGTACATGCTTTTAGATTTTTAAAATATTATTTCCGTAATAAGTACTCTTTTTAATAGCGTACCAATGTGTGCTACTTTTTCCATGAGTGTAAACTGAAGGGGGAAAATGGCATTTTACATTTTCTGAAGAAAATTAGTGGTGTCTGCTTGTGCACAACTCACAATGCTAGTGGTTACCATGCCATTACAACAGTATGTAGTTGCTACACTCTCTCTCTAAAAAAAAGAAGAAAAAAAAGAAGAAACTGTCACTGTCACAGCAAATAGTGACAGCTTTTGTACCTATTTTACTGAATAATTATAAGGTAATGATTTACCTTTTGATTTACTTAATCAAATAAGTAATTTTCGGTTTACTTTGTGATGCTATACAGAGGTCTGTTAGGTCACTAATAGTCACTAGATGGTTTTTAGTTGGTTACTATGCAGCTGTTTAGGTTTACTGTGCAGGGTTTAGGGTAGTTACTGGGCATTGCTATGCAGTTTCAGCATGTTCTGAGTAGTTATTAGCGCCACATGCTATTGTGGTTAGGTGGGCCACTTAGGTGTAGATTGCTAGGTGGATTCTAATGTGTTCTGAATAGAACAGCAGAAAAAAGTATTTGTATTAGAGGTTTGTTTAGGTATCTCCAAGTATGAGCAGTCATATAGTGATACTTGCTTGGCAAACACCACCATGTGAAGAATAAATTTAAAGGATAAAGCAAAATGGGTAAAGCAATGAATGGCGAATGAAAAGCATTAAAAAATAATAGCACAATGCATTCATAAAACAAAGGCAGGTTTTGTTTCCAATTCCCTCTGCACTGCTTTAGAGATGACTTCTTATTCCCATGGCAGAAACTGCAGTTATTATTTCTGTGGAGCCTTTAAAACACTCTCTAGAGCAAAGACAGAGTCACAGAGAGCTTTCAAGGAGGCGGAGAGAGATACAGAGAAACAGGGAGGAAGAGAGAGCTTGAAAGAAGCAGCAATTCTGAGAAGACTGAGAAATTCTTTGAAAATCTAAGACAATTGTAGCTGAATTCACTGGGGCAGATAAAGACATGGATGGTGTGGGGAAAAAAACCCATATAACCTATTTGACCAATGAATGAAATAAAAAAAAATAGTTGAAATAGATTTGTAAGTTTTAATCAAATTATCAAGAGAACAAAAATGGCAACACATTCTGTGTTAATGTAACATTAGGTTGAGTATTGTAGTTTAATACAAAATACAGCCATTCTGTAAATGCCTCACAAAATCATATTGACAATATGAATCACTAATTAAATAATTTGACTTTTTTAATTATTTTACAATTCAAATAACTTATACTTCATTTTTTATACTAATGAGTAATGTTTAAACGGAGTAGTGAATAAAACATGCTGAATGGTTGAACAGTTTTGAAAGATAGGAAAGACAAAAAGGAATAGATATTTGTGTATTTGCACTTTTTAATTGACACTCACTGCTTTGAAAGAGTTGAAGAGGTAGTAGAGAGCCCAGGCGATGATGATGATGTAATAGATGTTGAGCCAGAAGGACAAAACTACAGCAGCCAGCCCCACACCTGACACAAGAGGAGTTTAAGAGTTAAACCTCAAATGATACAGCACAACTAATCCAAAAAATATGTTTTGTGCCAAAACACGTAGATTGTAGATGGGAACCCTCATTCTGCCATACTCTTGTGAAATTCTTCCATCATTTTAAGAGAACTATCTAGACACATAGACACAACCTACAATAGCAGCTACCATTTTTTTATTTAAAAAACAATGGTTGCATAAAAACAAAACAAAATAATTTTAGAAAAAATACTGTTAGCTTTTTGCAAAGGTCTCATTTGGGAAGAAAATGAGAAAATGGGCATATTTCTGAAGTATATGTGCAAGGTAAACTTATGGGGAGGGTTCTAAAAAGATCTGCACTCTAGATGGTGCAGGTTCTTTACATGCATCTACTAGCAATCACATAATTTACTAAGCTGATTGGCTTTTTCTGATTCTGCAACCAGTGAGCTTACTTGTAAGCTCATCTTGCAGTGCATTATTAGAGTCCCTCTGAGACACTTCACCTCCCCCAGCTCCACATGTCTAGATGCTACAGGATTTATGTATGCCTATTCATGTGTATATTTGTGGCTTTGGCAGTGGCAAGTCTGTATTTGCTTTACAGCAGCAAAGCAGATCTAGTCTGTAAAGACAAAATGCGTTACCATTGTCATAGCTGTTAAAATGCTATTCCAAGAGATTTAATGACTGAATTATATGTAGCTTTGTTTAAAGATTAAGTGTGTCATTTCTGTGCTGTTGGAGTCACCAAGCAGAACTGCAAAAATAGTAATACAAAATGTAAACACAAACCCCATCTGTCATTGGTTGAACAAACAGATAGTTCTGCCTCAAACTCATGACACTGGCTTTGACTATTTGTTAATATGTATAACCCAGCCAGGCAAAAACATGTTGAAATTCCATTTGATGGCAGCGCAAAACTTACTGTGAGGCAATAGTACTCCAAATAGCTAATGTGTATAATGTGAATAATTCTCACCTTTCATCATGGGTATTAATTTCCATACTCCCAGCCCCCCCACTGATGTGTACTGTCCTAATGCCGTCTCCAGCAGAAACAGTGGTATTCCAGCAAACACCAGAGTAGTGAAATATGGTATGAGAAATGCTCCTAAAAATAATGTAATACAAAATGTACTTGTTAAGGTTTTTAGGTTTCAGACTTATATGCAGTCTTGCAAAACATCTGCATTAAGACTGAAGTGAACTTTAATACAATCTCTTCTATTCATAGTTTTCAGTCATGTGACTAGTTCGAAGTCCTGGAGGGCAAAACATCCATAGAACTGCAGCACAAGCATGTCAATTTTCCATTTGTTTCCAATCCACAAATATTTAGATCACCTCTCAAAAGAATAAAACAAAGATATGTGAACAAAATGCAAGTTTTGGCCATTTGCAATCCATATAAAGCACCCGCCGCAATATTTCAATCACTAAAAACAGTGGTACATTCTAAAACGTTTAATGTGAAAAAAACGTATTCTGCCTTAATGTATTAAAACAGTTATATTAAAAGATCAAATTCAGTTTACATCTTATTGATGATGCATACTTTAAACAGGGAAGTAGATGAGCCTGGAATGCAATGAATGCAATGCGCTAGATTGTTAAGTGTTTTCCTCATAATGGTTTTCTATGGGGGAAAAAAATGAATGTGAATGTGCACATTGTGTTTATATTCTGGGTTCATCTGCTTGCCTGTACAAAGTATGCATCATCAATAAGGTGTATACTGAATTTGGCCTTTTAATATTAGTGTCTTAGTAAATTTCTACTTAATGCAATCCTTGTAAAAATAACTGGCAGTCAGTGGATGAAAGCCTTGTTTTAGAGGTCTGCATTCCCGCGGGACCCGACCAGATTTTTTGCACAGCGGGATTAAATTCCCGAATAAAACGCGGTAGAGGTCGGTATCTCTGGTGTAATTTGAACGGGAGCGGGCGGTCTAACAATATCCCGTTCCCGACGTCCATTTAGAACAGCATATCTGCGCTTTATTCTTATTGACCACCGGTACAGCTTGCGCTCAGGACTGTTATGCACGCGCTGCACGCATGCTTTAAACGTCATGCATTTTATTAGCGTGGTCTGTGCACAATATGTGCATAACGATGCTCAGAGCAGGCTGTACCGGTGGTAAATATACAGCCCTCAGACAGAACAGGCAGGTTGTCGATGAGTGACAAAGCAGAATAAGGATAGAGCAAAGTGTGGATGCCCTGTCCTTGAAGGACGTTCAACTCGGTTTTGTTTATATTTTGCTTAGCCTATCATTTTAAATGAAAGATGTCGTAGGCTATTTATTTATTGTTCTCTGTGACACTTTTCCTACTGTGTTAACAGAAAAATGTCAAACGAATTTAGTATTTTGACAAGACAAATAAAAAATAGCTAATAGGCTATTTTTGTACAACCTACATTTATTTATTTTTTTCTCTCTCTGCGACACATTTTTCCTATTGTGTTGTCAATGTTAAACGAATTGTATCCTGACAAGACGAATAAAAATAAGAAATACCATTTTTGTACATTTTTATTTTCTCTGACACTTTTTTTTCTACTGTGTTGTATAAAATATTAAACTCATTTTGTGTCTTAAGATAATTCATATAAATTCAAGTCAAAGTCAATAAATTCAAGACTCTTGACAAGACGAATAAAATAACATACAATTTTGTGCAGAATACACTTTTATTTGTCAGCCTATCTCTCTTTCTTTCAGTAGAGAAAATTTTAATGTGAGATTCTGGAAACCAGATCTAAATTTAGCGGGAACGGTCAGGTCGGGTAGAAAATTATTCTAAGCGGACAGCGGGTGAACAAAGAAATGAATATGAATATATAATGAAATATATAGTGGGAGCAGGTGGGTGTGGAATATAACCTTGCGGGAGCAGGACTAATGGTTGAATGTGCAATATTAGCTGAAACTATGATTTTGGGAAAACACTCATTCATTGAGCTAATTGCTAATGACAGAACTTTGTCCAAAAAATTTTCAGAAGTATGGCAGAACCATAGTTTGTTCATGATACTTTTGGGAAATTCACCCCTGGTCTGTCAGCAGGGAAGACTTGGTGGATATTCTACAATGTAAATTCTATTGAGCTCTTGCCACTCGCAAGCTTTATTTTACCAAGGAGGGCATGTTCCTCTGTCAACATCTTTTCTTGGACCTGGAACAATATTCTTGTCAAACTTAGTCCTAATCCTATCCAACATCTAAACTTACCATTAACTGTACTTATAATTAAAGGCAAATGACTGATTAAGTGACAAAAATGTTGTTCAAACCCCAACCACAGCGTTAAACCTACTCCTAAAATCTGATTGATTGACAGGAATGTTGTCAGGAGCATGTCCTTCATGGCAAAAACATGGTAAGAATATTGATCCAACCAGGCATCTTCTCAACAGCCTATAAGTAACAGCGTTTCTGTCTTCTCTCACCTCCACCATTCTTTCCGCACAGATATGGGAACCTCCACACATTTCCCAGCCCAATGGCGTATCCAACACAGGACAGTAGAAAGTCAAATTTTCCCTTCCAAGATCCTCTATCTGGTACTGTATTCTCCTTCTCCTCTTCTGCAGGAACACTGTTGTGATCCAGGTCCTCAAATGGGACCGCCTGCTTCACATCTGAGGGTGAGTTGAGGTCCACCGTGCTCTGGCCAGTCTTCCCCATCACAGGAACAACGTCACACCACAGTCAGACAATAATCCACCTCTGTCCAGTACTGTATTATCCGTCTGTTGAATGCAGGGCTAATGACTTTGAATGTTTTTTAAATGAACACAACACTTCAGATGGGCTTTGAAAGAAGCTAAATATTTGTGTTTTTTCTACCGAAACACGATCGATCAGAACTATATGTGGTAATGTTATAGTTTGTATGTTATAACAAATGAGGTGTTATAACATAGTTATAAAACAGCTATAGCATATTAGTTGTCATACTATTATAGTTAACGAGTGAAAATATGAGATAATTGTAATTGGTTAATAGTTTTCATATACTGGCAACCTATGCTTTGTACTCCATACACTAAAACTACCTACTGTTTTTGTATTTTTGTGTTTTACCTATATGGCATCTGTGTAAAGTGCCCTTGTTCTACTCTCCCAGGTAATTTCTCTTTAAAACCAATTAAACCACCTGCTTTCTACAGACAAAGTGCAGTTCATGAGAATCATTAACTTTCCAGACAGATGTGCCGATAATCAGATTGCCTTAATGGAGACACTAATTCTTATCCATGTCCTACTAATGTGATGAATCAATCAACTTTATTTGTGACTAACGGTTTTGAAAGTCTACAACCTGCATGCCAATGCATAACAAAACCACCATCAGATACCTCATTGTTTTCATTTAACGAACAGCCATTATACATTTAGAAACAGTCTCATTAAATCACAGTAAGCAATTAAATGTGAGTCAAGTTTGCTTCAGGCTCACTGAGTATTTAAAATATCTCCAACTTTTCCTCTGCATCCTTTAGATTAAGAGGAAATTGAATACAGACTTATTGCACAAGGTTTGCATTAATAGACAATAGAGTTCCCAACTCATTATTTTTTATGGTAACTATACCACACATTTAGAGAAGGGGGGTAAAATACATACCTCTGAGACGTCTTTATTCTGTAGTCAGGTGAGTCGAGATGCCACCAACTAAAGGTGAACTCAAATTCTTCATTAACAACAGAACCAAATGAAACTGACCCAATGTCCCAGCTAGGGCAAAAAGTTTCCCGTTTTCTCTCTCTCGTTCTATGTATCTGGAGGGGCCCTCTATGCCCTGGTGTTCCTGTGGCTGATATTGAGCTGCAGATAATAAACTTCGACCTGTTGTTTGATAGGATTATCGCTTTACCACACTGAGACCCTGGGGCTACTAAACAACAGTCGATTGCAGTGTCCTCGCATTGTGTGTGTGTGTATTAGTTGTGTGTCAGTGTGTGAATATGTGTGCACTGATCCTTGTGCCAGTTTGGTTGCCATGGGATATCCCCTTAGAAGAGTGCTCCGTTCTAGCATTGAAAGAGCTTGTTAGGATTTTAAAATGAAGCAGGCGCAGTGCCTAAAATACAGACGGCATGATGTCTCCCAAAAATGACCCCAAAAGCATGACTTTATCAGTTAAGACCCGTAATTTATGACTGATACTGTACATTTATAATTGGTTTGTAAAATATGGTAAGGTGAATAAAGTAGATTTGAAATCAATAAATGTTTGATACTTTAATACAGCAGAGTTTATCTCAGAGTTGATCATGTGTGGTTTACAAAGATGTTGATATGTTTGCTCTGTTGCCAAGACCTTCCATACTGTTGTAGTAATAGCATAGTAATTACATAGCAATACACTAAGTAATAAGCTGCATCTACATCTACTAAATCTCACAGTATTATATAGTAATTGATAATGAACTCTTTTATTTGAAAAGAAGATCAAGCAAGGTGTGAATGCATACTTTGCTGTAACAACACATCTTTCCCAAATGGTATGCTCTATAGGGAAGGCTCTGATGGAGCATTTTAAAGGGGTCATATGATGCGATTTCAAGTTTTCCTTTCTCTTTGGAGTGTTACAAGCTGATTGTGCATAGATAAGATCCCTGAAGTTGCAAAGACTAAAGTCTCAAAACCAAAGAGATATTATTTATCAAAGTTAAGACTCTGCCACGCCCCCCTAAAATGGCTCGTTCTAACACGCCCCCACATGTCTACCTCACTATGTGGAAATATTTGCATAATGCGGCCCAAATGTGCACGCAAAGAAAGAAGGCGTAGTTTCAGTAACCTCAGTTAGTGTTGAAGCAGCCATGTCAGGGAGACGCAGTGTGTTTCTAGGCGAAAGCAAAAGCACTTTATTTGGCCTTCCAAAAGTAGATGCATTTAGGAATCTTTAAGATTACTTACAACAGAACAGCAATGCATTTTATGGACGACCGTTTCGTGAACCTAGGAGAGGAGGTAATTCTGACTTTGCTATGACAATCTGGCACTTCTGAATCAGCTACTGTTTTGTTATTAGTTTAAGTTTTTGCTATTGACTGTTCAAATGCGGAGTTTTGCGCATCGTGTGTGTGTGTGTGTGTGTGCGCGCGTGCGTGTGAGAGAGAGAGAGAGCGTGTCACATCAAAGTGGAGTCAGCTGTCTTAACCGTGGCTTGTGTACTGCAAACACATACCAGCTTCATCACTGTGTCTGTCACGCGACTCTGTTCCCCTTTCGGGCTCTGTCTTTACATTTATTTTGAAAGATGAAGCTCGCGATTATGGTAAGGGGCATTACATTCCCGACAAGTGCTTGCTGTGTTCGGCCAATCACAATGCACTGGGTCAGCTGGCCAATCAGAGCAGAGCGCTTGTCGGAAGGAGGGACTTTGTAGAAAACGAAGCGTTTGAGAGAGGCGGGGCATAGAGGTCCTACAATAATGTACAGTATTTGAAAAATAATGTGTTTTTTGAACATTAAAGCATGTCAACATATTCTGTTACACCAAATACACAAAATAATGATCTTTAAAAAAGCATCATATGACCCCTTTACATACGATGCATTTTAAGGGTGTAGAAAAAGCCAGGTCAGATTAAAATCAAGGAGAAATTGGATATCTGAAACGAAAACTGGCCATTATGTCTGAAATTCTCATTGGTCAACAGATGCACTTTGGCAAACCATGAGGTTTTCTGGATGCACATAATTTTACAGTATGTGCACTTAGAGTGTACTTACCTAAGAAAATACTAGATAAAATAAGGTAACATGGATTAGGTTTAGGGGTAGGTTCAGGGTTAGTACCTAGTTATTACCCAGTTATTGTACTATAACAGTTATATATGTACATGTGGAACAGGACTGTAATTTAAAGTGCTACCAGTTTTCCCATTCATTCGAAACACGTGCCTCAAAATATATTTCTGCAAAACTGAAAAAACTTACCTACATACGAATCGCTGCAGTTTCCAGTTGAAATTAACACTAGACTACTTTTATTCCTTTTCACACAAAAAGTATGATTTACAGGTCCACAGTTTAGATTAATAAAGCCTAATTTTCGCACAATTACTTGAGGAATATTATGTTATATATTCAAAACAATTTTAACATGCTGCGACATTTCAAAACTGATACTTTTGAACGCTGGCATCACATATCAAGCTTCATATGTACGGGTTTTAATGTTCGGTAGGTTTGTTCGGTAGCTCACGCAGTATTGAGTTGCACTTTAGTGGTGAAGAGCTCTTGTACGAATCAATTGAAACTAAGCTGTACACTAAACAGCTCAAACCTGCATATAAGGAAATTCAAGTGGCACGGTTGCATCAACAAATGCATTTTATATCAGTTTTGCATTTGTTAACACTATCGGGTAGGTTTAGGGTTGGGTTTGGTATAGGGGATATTTCCAACACGATAGATCATTAACTTTTAGCGACACTCCCCGAGTATTTGATTTACGAACCGCCGCAATACGAAGCTTTGCAATAAAAACACAGCAATACGTACCTATATCAACATTAAAAATAAAACGTGCTAGGGTCACGTATTGAACCCGTGTTTTAATGCCACTCACTGGACATTTCACTTTGAAACTGTCGTGAAACGTGCCGTAAGGTAAGTAATAACGGTGTTGCAGAAATGTATTAAGAGGCACATATTTCGAATGAGCCTGGGTTGAGTTTTCCTCTACATCCCTGTGATGCACAATCACAATTAACAAATTTGCAGAATATTTGCTGCATAAACTTTACTGTGTAAGCATCCTGAAAGTCACTACAAGTCCTATAAATAATAGTCCTAAAATGAAATGCCATTTAGTTCCAACATGAAGCAAATAACTGTGCCATTGTTACTTTTCATTGGATTAGAGAATAATAGGTGTCCAATCCTGCTCCTGAAGGGCCACCTTGATGCAGAATGCAGCTCCATCCTGCTTTAAAACATCTCCCAGGAAGTTTCTTGTAATGTCAAAAGATTCCAGAGTAATTGGAATCAGGAGGTTGACAAGCTGGTTTAGATGCATTTACTTAGGGCAGGAGCTAAACTAAGTTTAGAGCATCTACTGCAGAAAATAACAATGTGCTACAATGCAGGAGTGACAGAAATTGTGGCCAAAAGTATGCGGATACCTGAACACCACACCCTTTGTTTGTCACACATTTAATTTTAGGGTTTGTCCTCCCATTGCTGCCACAACAGCCTCTACCTTCCGAGCATCCGGGAAGATTTTCCACTAAATGTTGGAACATGGCTGCAGGGATTTGATCCCATTCAGAAACAAAAGAGCATCAGTGAGGTCATGCACTGATGTTGGGTGATGGGCAGAAAAATCCCACAGACACAATGACACAAATGGGATGGGATGAGTTATGGGCTGAAGTTGAAAGAGTTAGAGGTTTGTTGAGCAATAGCCTTACTCATAAAAAATATGGGAAAATCTGGGACAAGTGTGAATCTGTCCAGAACTGTCAGTCCAAAGCTGGTCCATTTCTAATAGGAGAGGTCATAACACACTATAGCAGAGTTTTCTTTCTGTCAAGTTTTGCAATATGACAATGTTTATAAGATAACAACTGCTACACCTCATACATCTGGGTGGGTGGAAAGAAAAAACATTCCACATCCCAGTTGGAGTTTGTCTTAAGCCATGTTAGAAAACATACTTTTCTATTGGATTGTTCAAGATTCTGTTGTCTGATAAAACCAGAATTGCTAGGTAATAAATCTGGTCCAACCCTTACAAAGCACCTCCCTGTGGGAGCATCGCTACACTGTGGTACTGTATGGTGATGATAGCTGTATGTCTTGGGGATATATCCTTATTTTAGTGAATACCACAATTTTGAAGAGTGATGAAAGTCTGATGAGTGTAATTTGCCTTAATGTTAAAATTTATGTCATAATAATCGTAACCCTACATCCTACAAACAGCTAAAAATAAGCCATTGATATGCAAATTCTGGGATTTCTGGGATATGTGCTCAATTGTGGTGGATATATTTTTGCTTTATCCAATAAGAAGAAATGTGCATAAACTAAAATAGAAACACAATTACCTAATAAATTTCTCTGCACAATTAAAAAAAAAAAATACTTTGGCAAAGCTAGAGTGAGTAACCTCGGAAACTCCATGTGTCCTGTTGACAGAATTGGACAGTTCTCATACGAGCAGTTAGCTTCAAAAGAGCACCTCTGCTATGAGTAATAATTGGGAAACTGACCAAGAGCACTGTTATGAACCCCATCCACTTCAGCTGTGTCAATGTCTTTGTGTGAAGCACAGTCCTCTGCAGTCGCTCATTGGGCAAATGGCATATGGGTTTAGATCATGGCACTTGTAAAAAAATATGTTTAGTTTTTAAGCAATGACAGTAAAAACATTTAGTAGATGAATTAAAGGACAACTGCTTTTCAATAAATGAACCATTAAATTGAGAAGATAAAGTGTATTTTTAACTGTAAAAGAACCGTATGAGTCAAATTGAAATATTCTGGTGTGAGATTTTAACACAGAGTATTTTTTTTCTATTAGCTCATTATTATATTATATATTAGTTTGAATTATATAAGATATAACAAGCAATGACACAACTTGCTATATTAATAGATGTGCAGTCACATCATAATATTGTGTGTACTGCATATTAAAGCAATATCACACAAGCAAGAGTGTGTTTTACGGCTGTACAATATTCAATATAATATATTATTCAGACTTATCATGTATATGTAATTATAAATGCACATATCTGTTATGAA